ACTCAATTCTAAACGCGAAGCTTAATTCGACAAGTATTCACTTCCGAGAGAAGAGAGGAGATCAAATTAAATTTCTCTGTTTAAGAACCAAGGGGACATTTCTCTCTCTCTCTTTCTTTTTCTCTTTATCTCTCTTCACTCACTCACTCTGTCTCTCTCTGTCGGATAAATAATGAAAAACAGACGGGAATGTAGCGTCTCTCTATCTCGATGTTTTTCTCATATATGTGTGTTTGTATGCGTGTGAATGTACGTGAGTGTGCGCGTTTTCAAGGGACGAGGATTTTCATTTATTTAGCTCTTAAGTTTAGAAAGCACTACTGTTAGAAGTTTTATATTGCAGTTTTACTACGCAATTTTTTTTTCTTTTCTTTTTTTTTTTTGTAAAAGAAATTTACATACTTGTGTATGTATGTGCTTCGCAACGAGATGGACAAATTTGAATCAGTATATAGTTTTTCGGGGATTGGATAACAAAGTTCGGGAAACATTTTTTTTTTTGCTTTTCTAAACATGCAAAAAAAAGATAATAGAGAATTTAATTATTTATTTAAAAAGTAAAAATCAAAAATTGATTGGAATTATTTTATTGTTATTTACTGACAGTTGTTTTACAGAAAAATATTTTTTACAGAAAATTCTTTTTTTTAAACTAATCCCTAGTGTTTTGGTGTACTGTCTTCTTGGTTGAATCTATAAATTCAGTCTGACTATGAACGATTTTTTTCACTGTCGAACAAAGAATTTCCGTTTCATTACTTTCAGGGATATCAATTGTCTGACTATTGGTCGATTTTTTCACTTAAAGTGTTCGAAATGGTTGGAAAGTTCAAAGTCGTTTATTATCGTCTGACTAAATTCTGGTTCTTCTACTTGGCGAGTAAAATCGTTTTTCTTGCTCGTAAGAAATTGAGTGACAATTGTCTGACTATAGGGTTATTTTACTACTTGTATTAAAACTATACTTGTTATTAAAAGTAGTTTATTGTTTCCAAGTCCTGTTATTCTAGTGTCTGACTCAGTCCTGGTTTTTCTCCTTGAAAAATAATCGTTTTCTTCTGATTTTCAATAGTTATTCTCTAACCAGAGATTTGTTTCTTAAAATAACATTTTCCTTTTACGGTATTTTAATTTTCATTTTCATTTTTTTTCTCCTTTCTCCACTTTTGACTAAAATCGTTTACCTTTTGTTTACTTTTGACTAAAATCCTTTACATTCGAACTATTTTTGACTGAGTTTTAGCCTCGAGGCTAAAATTCAGTCAAAACTGGTTCGAATGTAAAGGATTTGAGTCAGCCAATAGTGACTAAGAATTTTTGGTCAAAAGTGGATAGAAAGTAAACGATTTTAGTCAAATTTGGTTTTTTCTGGTAAAAAAAAAAATTACGAAAAAAGAGGAGGGAGAGAGAAAGACAAAAAATAACAAAAAAGAGAGAGAGACACAAAAAAGGAATGAGAAAAAAAGAGCAAAGGCAAAGAAAGAGAGTAAGAAAGAAAAAAGCAGAGAGAGAGAGAGAGAGAAATGAGAGTCGATGCCACACGAAACTGATGCTTGTGCAGTAAAGCATCGACATGCTCGGCCGTTAGTCTCGGCGTTAGTTCGGTACAAGGACCCTCTTGAAATACACTCCTGGGACGAAGGACGAAAGGAGCGAGATGGAAAAGGACGTGGGAAAAAGATGCGAGGAAAGGGCGCCGCCCCCGCGACGATTTTCCATCGGCCGCCATTGTAGACATGGGCGTGGCTGCGCAGACGCTGAAAAAGAAAAATCGTCTGTTTGGAAAAAAAAGGGGAAAATCCCTGTGGAGTGAGACGCTCGAAAAGAGAGGAGAGGAAAATGCGCACGAAATGTCGAGGAGAGGCGTTTCACTTCCATGGTACGCGCAACACTTCCTAGAATTCCGATCCTCTCTCTCCCTTTTACTCTCTTCCTCTTTCTCTCTTTCCCTCTCTTTCTATCTTTCCCTCTCTTTTTCCCTCACTTTCCCTCCTTCTCTCTCTTTCTCTCTTTCTCTCTCTCTTTCTCTTTCGCATTTAGCCTTTACAACTATCTCGCCCAATTCGTTCTGGAAACCACCCCTATGGTAAGCTCAACGATCCTCCCTTCGCGTCTCTTCGTTTCTCGAATACTGAGTGAGGAAAAGAGAAAGAGAGAAGGAGAGCAAAGAGGGAATCCGCCAAAATTATTTTCCACTGGCAACTAGGCAGGCACACCAACATCCCGAAATTTCAACCCTTTAATTTCAGATGGTATGATAATTCGCGGCAATATTTTACGCGAGTCTGAAACCTGGCTCAATGTGGGATTTCTCTATCTAAAAGGGGGCACACAAGTGAGCACGAGCAAGAGAGAGAGATTGAGAGGAATGAATTTTCTTTGAATTTTCAGCTAAAAAACTAGAAAAAATGTTTTTAAAAAAAATATTTTCTACAATTTGCTTAGAAACAAAACGGAAGTTCGAAATGGACTTGCTTGCTCTGAGTATATAAATTAGTGACATGGAGAAATTATTATAGTAAAACGTAAACATCAGTTTAGTGAAAAATATATTAAATTAGTAAAATGGCGGATAACTTTTGAAAAACGTAAACTTAGTTGTTAAAAAATACATTAAATTAATGAAAAGGTAGATAAATTAGAAAAACGTAAACTTAATTAGGAAAAAAATTAAATTCGTGAAATGTATACTAAAATAACAAAAAGGTGAACTAAATTAGTAAAAAATAAATTAGTTAACTATTAAAATTAGTCGAGTTTTAAATTAGTCCAGTATTAAAATTAGTCGAGTATTTAAATTAGTCCAGTATTTTAATTAGTGGAGTATTTAAATTAGTCCAGTATTTTAATTAGTGGAGTATTTAAATAAGTCCAGTATTCTAATTAGTCCACTTTTAGTCCAGTGTTAAAATTAGTCGAGTATTTAAATTAGTCCAATATTTAAATTAGTCCAGTATTTTAATTAGTGGAGTATTAAAATTAGTCGAGTATTTTAATTAGTCCACTTTTAGTCCAGTGTTAAAATTAGTCGAGTATTTGAATTAGTCCAATATTAAAATTAGTCGAGTATTTAAATTAGTCCACTTTTAAAATTAGTGCAGTATTAAAATTAGTCCAGTGTTAAAATTAGTCGAGTATTTAAAGTAGTCCAGTATTAAAATTAGTCGAGTATTTAAATTAGTCCAGTATTAAAAATAGTCTACTTTCGGTCAAATATTAAAATTAGGCCAGTATTTAAATTAGTCCACTTTTAAAATTAGTCGAGTATTTAAAGTACTAAGTCCTCCTATTTTTCACTTTAAAAAATAAAAACTTTAGTCAAAAGATAAAGACTACTATAACTTACAAAATAAACCATAATTAAATGCTTAATTTTACCTTGAAAAATTCAATTCAGTAAAAAAATTATGCACCGATATTTAAAAGTCTGCTTCTATCTATTAGAAGTGAAAAAATCGTTGAACAGTCAGACATAAATTATTATGCGAACCTTCAAAAATTTATTCAGACATTACATTGAATCGATAGATATTTATAATAGAAATATGAAATTAAATACTCACGTATAATTAGTAGAAGAACCTAGACGTTGTCAGACAGTAGTAAAACAATAGGGGGTTTATTCTAAAAATTATAATATTGAACAATAGAAGTGAAAGAATCATTGAATAGTCAGACAATAGATTTTCGACTAGAATATAAAGTCAGGAATTAAAATTTCTTGTAAGAGAAAAAGTCAAGATTTAATAATTTAATTCTTGAGAAAAGTCGTCTGCTAATTAAAATTAATCACCTTTTTTAATTATTTTAATTATTTAAATCAAGCCACTAATTAAAATTAGTCCAGTATTTGAATTGTTCCACTAATTAAAATTGGTCCACTATTTTAATTAGTAATAATTAGTAATAATAATAATAATTATGATAATAATAATAATAATAATAATAAAAATTTTAGCAATGATAACAGAAATAAGTTAATAAATTTCCGTGAGTTAACTCGAGTTTATTATAGTTTATCGATATGTGAAACGCCTTTTTAATTATAATTATATCTGTCGTTTATTTGAAAGCAGTATTATATATTAATAATTATTGCATAATTTTTTATAATTGTACTGTTGAAAATAGTTTTTTTTTTGCTCCATGTTAGCTTGTATTTACACTTGGATCAATTTTTTTTTATTTCCCAGACATAGAGAGATAAAATAGTTGTTATTGATGCAACAGATGTTCTGGCAATAAGGTTTCATTTCATATATAAAATCCCGAGCGGAAATTTCAATTCGGGTTCTTTTTTACATTTTTTTTTTATTTTTTGCATGTTTGTTTGTTTACTTTGGTCAATTGTTTCTAATTTTAACAAAAAAAAAAAGATTTCAAAAGAAAAAATTTTGCAAACAATATTTCTTTATATTCTTCTCATTTTTTTTTTTTTTTTTTTTTTTTTTTTTTTGAGTAGGTATTATTTTTGAAATTATTTCAACAAACAAAATATGTTAACAAAAAAAAATATTATCACAGTATTATAATATTTATAAAATCATAATTTTATAATTCTTTTACAATCATTTAATTTTTTTTTCTAAATTTTTTCTATTTTTAATTTTTTTTAAGCTGTTGGCAAATAATGGAAATATTTTTAAGTAGAAAATACAAGAGAAAGTCAGACAATACAATAGAAATATTCTTAAGTAGAAAAGCAAGATATAGTCAGACGATACGAAATGGTTTTTATACTGGAAAAAATTTATTTCATTGCGAAATATATTTTTATTTAAAAAAAAAATTGATGTTTCTATGAGAATGAAATTAAATTAATTTTTACTCTGGAAAAAATTTTTTCGAAAATATAAAATGCAAATTATAATCAACGATTACAACTTTTTACTGTTAATTTTTGTTATGAAAATTTCTACGAAATTTTTACTTACAAAAATTCGGATGACAAAAAAAATGCAAAATCGTTTAACATTTCTTTCGTTTTTTTAATTTTTCAGGCTCACTTTCGAATGGCGGAATTAAAAATTACAAGAAAGAATTAAAAATTGGTTCACTACGGACGGCATCGATTTTAATCGAAAAAAGGACAATCAGTACGAGGCGGCAAAACGTTTCGTCAAAATTTGTAAGTAAAATTTAAATTTTGAGAAATTGTCATCAAATTATATCAGTTGAAGAAAAAAAAAATTTTTTCATAAATAATAGTTGGAAATGTATTTAAGTATTTTGAATATTAACTTAATTAGTAATTAATTAACCAATTGAAATTTAATTTTATCACAATTGAAATTTAATTAGTTGATCAACTAAAATTTAATTAAATTTACTAATTGAAATTCGTAAATTATTTAAAACTATTTTTCAAATTATAATTTAATTCATTTACCAATTGAAAATATAATTATTTAGGAATTAAAATTCAATTAATTGAAAGTCGTGAATTAATTTCATGAATTTACTAATTGAAATTCGTAAATTCAATTAATTTACCAATTGAAATTCGGCAATTCAATTAATTTACTAACTGAAATTTGTAATTTAATCAACGTTTATTTGCGAATAGAAATTTAATTCATTTGCCAATTGAAATATAATTATTTATGAATTTAAATTCAATTAATTTGCCAACTGAAATTCAATCAATGTACTAATTGAAACATAATTATTTAGTAATTAATATTAAATTAATTCACTAAAATTAAATTTAATTAATTTACGAATTGAAATTGAATTAATTTATAACAATTGAATTTCGTAAATTAATTAAAATTTTTATTTTGCAAATTAAAATTTTATTTTTTATTAGTTAAAATTTAATTCATTTACCAGTTGGAATGTAATTAATTTACCAGTTGGAATGTAATTAATTTACCAGTTGAAATGTAATTAATTTTCCAGTTGGAATTTAATTAATTTACCAGCTAAATTTTAATTAATTCACTTCCACATTTATTAAAAATAAAACTATTATTATTAAACGAAAAAAAAGGTGATTTACTAGCAACAGAATCGTTCGTTAAACTAACATTAATCAAAAACGTGACTCTTAGCCATTTAATAAATGCCGTTTTAAAAAGGAAAAAAAAACGTTTTTCAATGTGTAGAAAAAAAAATGAAAGAGAGACAGTATTTTTTTTCTCCCCCTCGGAATGAGTGCGCGCAAAACGGTCGCAATTTCGTGGGGTGGCAGTTTTTTAAAATTAAGGCAGTTAAACCTAATCTCGACGTGTGCAGAGGAGAGTATAAAAATATATTAGTTCCCTCCTTCTCTCTCTCTCTTTTCAGCTTCAACACCCATGAAAAAATCCGGTCCCGAATCGCGTATTTTAAATCACTTCTCTCCTTCGGAACCCTCCTTCCTTCAACAACGGAGCGAAATGTTCTTAATAACCGAGAGAGGCATTTGAGTGCGGTTGTCATTAGACATGGCTCAAAAGAAAAAAATGAGACAGAAGTTTAAAAAAAAAAATGAGAGAAAAAGAGAGAGGGAGAAAGAAGAATAGGTAAAAAAAAAGGATTATTGTTGGATAGAGCGGAAGAAATATATAGGAGTTAAAATGAGATGAGAGAAAAAGGTAGTGGCTTAAAGGGAGGAAATGCCCGTTTTCAGGAAAACCACTCGAAGTAAAACGACCGCGAGCGCCATTTTCCGACATGGACGTCGGTATTATGACCTTTTTCAATGCGATAAACGTGCAAATTATGCTTGATGCCTTCCCCTCAACGTTGATTTTACCTTTTTTTGTTATGCGAATCCTCTTTTCTATTCTATCTCGGTTCTCGCATTTTGATTATTATTATTTTTTTTATTGTTATTATTATATTTATACCAAAAACACTTGGTCTTTAATATATTTCTATACTTATCGCTTTTTCGAATTTCGAGAGTTATTATTAGTATTTTTCATTATGATTATTATTAATTCTGTTATTTTTAATTATTACTATTGTTTTTATAATAATATTTAATTAAAATATTTAAAAATTTATTTAAAAATTTATTTTAAAATTTATTTAAGTTTAAAATTAAAATATAAAAACTTTAGGGTAAAAAACTACAGTATTGTCACTTCAAGTAGAAAACCCGTTATTTAGTCAGACAGTAAGTAAATTTTTATCGCTTTCAAGAATAAATTAGTCAAAAGTGGAAAAAATAATTTGCTACAGTCAGACAGAAGATTAAACAATTACTAGCAACTATTCGCGCTCGGATGACTTCTCCCTCACTTTTTTAAAAATAAAATTACCAATTATAAAAATAAAATATGAATATTTTTAATATTTCAAAATTAATTCAATTTTAAGAGTTGCATATTTACAATTTTCATAAATAAATGAACTTCAAACGGTTTTAATTCGAAATTTTATAAAATTTCAATGTTGAAATTGAATTTAATTACAAATTTTAATGAACTTAGATTTTTGAAAAATTTTATAATATTTTAATAATTCAAAATCTTCTAAAATTAGTTAAATTTGTCAATATATATTTAATTAATTACTAAAAATAATGGATCTATAGAAGGATTTTAGTTAAAAACACTTTTAAAAAAATTGAATTTTGAAGTAAAATTACAAATGATTGCAGGAATTCGATTATTTTCAGAAATAGTAAAATTCTTATCACAAAAATTCAATTATATTCAAAATTTACATAAAAATCTAGACAAAATCCCAATTATTATCTTTATAAATAAAAAAAAAATTCTTCTTCAAAATTCAATTATTTTCAAAAATTTTAATAAAATTCCTCAAACAGGAATTCAAATATATTTACAAGTTTTATATAATTAGTTTCAAGAAGGTTTGAATTTAAAATTTTTTAAAAATCCTAATGTCTATGGAAAAATAATAATAATTAAATATTTAAAATATGTCAAAAAGAATTTATTGTTTTCGAATAATTTTACACTTAAAGATATTCATAAATAAATTTAACAGAACATTTTTTTTCAATAAAATTGTTTCATTTATTTTCTAAAAATTCAAAAATTTTCAGTTTTATTAAGAAATAGAATTGTTGCAAATTATTTTTCTATGAAAATTGAGAATTTTCTACAGAAAATATTAAGAAACGATATTGTCTCATGTTTTTCTTTCCCAAAAGAAAAAATAAGTTTGTAAACAATATTTTTATTAAGAAATAAAAATTATAAAAAAAATGATAAAATTTTTATAAAAATTACGTATAAAATTTGTATATTTTTTTACTTTTTAATCGAAATTTTTCAACAATTAACAATTTTCCAGTATATTTTATAAACAAAAAGGAGAATAATTTGAATAATAATTTTCATTAGTCAAACGAAATTTGTTATATATCAATATTTTTTAAAGAAAAAAAAAACAAAAGCATACACAGAAATATTGTCACTTCAAGTAGAAAAGTCATTATTTAGTCAGACTTTGAAAATATATTTCAAAGTGTTTGTCTGACTATATATGGATATTTCTACTTGGAAATTGCAAATTTTTAATTTTTTTACTGTAAAACTGAATAAATTTCGTTGTGTCTGACTAAAGTATGATTTTTCTACTGAAAAAATATTTTTTTCTCACTACCACGTAAGAATTTCGTGAGTTTTGTTATAAATAAAGGAGGAAAATTTCTAGAACGGGGAAGATTCTCGAAGAACCTCGATGCGTTCTTTTCTTCGTTTAAATCTCCAGTCGCTTAGCGCGGAGTTCTTCATTCATAAGAATATACGCTTTCAGTTCTTTATTTATTAGTTTTTCGTCAGCGAATTTTTAATTTTGTTAGAAAATATCTTTTTATAAATAAATTACTATGAAAATATTGTTTAATTCACTTAAATAAAAAATATATTCCGATACGAATAAATATTTATTAGATAATATAGACAAATTATCGTTTATTTTAACCAGATAAATTTTTTTAGTGCATTAAACGTAAATTTTTTAATAGTTCAATATTTATACTGTTTATTTATTTTCGTTATTGAAATAAACCCATTTTAATAAATAAATAAATTTTAAAATTTTTCGTTTATTACTTTTTTTTTTTGAAAATGAAAACGAAAACGAAATGAAAAATTGTAAAATATACCAGTTAATCAAATATTTTTGTTTGCAAAACTCGACTGAAATTTTAGCAAACCTAAACGCGTAAAGAATAAATAACAACAACTACAAAAAAAATTGTTACCTATCGTATTTCAATCTCGTTATACAAGAGATAGTTATAACACCATGTAAAATTTACCACTTGTTATGGTGTAATTCAATTTCGACCCGTTACTTTTACTGCATGGAAAAAGAATTTTTTTTTTGTTTTTTTTTGTAATTTGACTTGATTTACTTAGACAAAATTTACGCTTGTTTCGAAATGAAAAATTTAAATTTAATTACAAAGACAACCTAAAAAAAAATAAATAAAACAGAATATAGACAATAAATCAGTTTTGTCCCTTATAAAAGTATTACAGTTTTCATGTTATCAGCTATTTTTTTATTTTATTCTATTTATTCCTTTTATCAATCATTAATTTTAGTTACTAATTTTTCTTTATAAATTTTTATTATTAATTTCTATTAATTATTTCTATTATTAATTTCTATTATTGATTTTTATTATTAATTTCTATTATTAATTTTTAGTTACTAATTACTGTTATTTAGTTTTAATTTGTTTATTTTTTACTAATGTTTAATTTAAAATTTATTAAAAGATTTACATTAAATATATTTTAAATACTATTTCAATTATTATTATTTAAAATAAAAATATTTAAAATATTTAAAGTTTTAATAAACGACATTACAAGTAGAAAAGTTATTTTATAGTCAGACAAAAGATTTAAGTTATTTTTTTAAATTAAGAAAGTATTTTTTTAACTAAAAAAGTTATTTGTGTTATTCTTTTTAAATTTGTTTATTTGTTAATTTGCTATTGATGTTCTATTATTAATATTTAATTATAAAGTTCTGTTCTTAAGTATTAATTCATTATTTGGTTATTAATTATTAATTTTTAATTACTAATTTCTGTTAAGAAATTTTAGTTAAATTAAATTTTTTAAGAACTTGTAGGAAGAGGGAAAATAATGTTTCAAGTAGAAAAGTTGCTTTATAGTCAGACAAAATGTTAAACTTATTTTTAAAATTAAAGAAATTATTTTATTAAATTAAGAAAATTTTTTCTGAATTTAGAAAGTATTTTTTTTTATTTGAAAACTATTTTTTACGTTAGAAAATATATTTTACATTAAAAAATATATTTTAAAAATACATCACAATTAAGAAATATATTTTAAAAATACGTCACAATTAAGAAATATATTTTAAAAATACATCACAATTAAAAAAAATATTTTAAAAATAAATTACATTATAAAAATGTTTTTACATTGGAAAAAATAATTTAAAAAATACATTACGTAGAATAAAGTATTTTTTTACCTTAGAAAAACTACTTTTGAAAAATATTTCATTAAAAAATTATTGTAAAAAATAAAAAGTTGTCTTTAAATTAAAAAACTATTTTTAAAAATAAAAAAGTTTGCATTTTAGTTTAAAAAACTATTTTTCAAATTAAAATTTATAATTTATAATTAAAATTTATAATTTTAATTTAAAAAAAAGTATTTTTCAAACTGAAAAAGTTGTGTTTAATTTAAGAAAAGATTTTTTAAAATTAAAATTGTTTTTTTTAAATTAGAAGAATTCTTTTTAAAATTAAAAATTTTTTTTTTCATACTTTTTTTTAGAGTAAAAAAAAATGTCTTTTTTTTTAATTGAAAACTTTTTTTAACATAAAAATAAAAAAAAAAATTTTTTTAAAAGCGCCACATAGCGGGAATTTTTGCACTGGCTTCGAGGCAAAAGAAAACAGTCGATAGGGAAGGATGCAGTAGATTTTCGAGACCAGTTACCGACACTAAAACGAGTAGCCATCTTGCAAAAAGGAATAGAGAGAAAGGGAGAGAGAGAGAGTGAGAGAGAGGGGAGAGGTGGAGGCGAAATAGGAAAAACAAAATGAAGGCGCTTGCGCCAGTTTCGTTATTGAGCGAAGACCCTGGCGCCTTTTTGCATTTCTATCGCCCGCACCCCTTTCCTTGTTCCATCCGCTTGGCAATTCTTCGCTCCCCTCTCGCCCCCAAATGTCGAGCTTTCGTTATAATACTCCCCTCTCTCTCTCTCTCACCTCCGCGGTTTTATTCAATTTTTCCTTTGTATTTTAACAAATTTTTAAATACACAAACAAAATATAAATATTATTTCCTTCATTCCACCGTTTTTTTTTTTTGTTATCATTTTCATCGATAGAAATAGTGGGAAAAAAATTTCTATCTTTTTCAATGAATTAACTAAATTTAAAATAATAATAATAATAATAATAATAATAATAATAATTATTATTATTATTATTTCACTTCTTCTTTGAAATTTACGTCTATACTTAATTTTTAATTTACAAAAGAAATTTGCAATCGAAATAATTGTAAATTTTTTTCGCTAATACCAAATTTTTAATTAATTTTAATAAATAAAAAATAATGAAAATAGAATAAAAAAAATGCGAGTACGATTTTTTAAAAAATAGCTGGAGAGATTGAATGGGAAATTTTTTGTTTGCAAATAAAGGGATTTTTAAATATCAAAATTGTGAGTTTAAAAAATATTTTTTTTCGAATGCTGGTCGATTTTTCGATAGGGGAAAATAAATATTAGTTTAATTTTTTATTTTCTTCACCCTTGCAAACTTTATGTAATTTTTCGATATTAAATTCTTTTTCATTTATTATTTTTTTACCACAAAATTAATAATTCGACAAATTTTTTTATTTTTTTTCTCCCAAAAAATTAATAGTTTGGCAATTTTTTTACATTTATTATTTATTTATTTCAATCACATTTCTGCATTTCAATGAGTATTTTTACTTTTATTTGAATTATTATTATTTTTTTAAATGAATATTATCGAAAGTAAATAATTTTTGATTTCTTTTTTATTTCGAAATCAATATTTTTGAATATAAATGAATAGAGAATTTTTTATCGCTAATTACTTTGATTTACTTTATTTTCATTTGGCGTTTCCTCTACTTCATAACTAATTTTAATTAAATTAATAATGCAATAAAATTAAAAAATATTAAATGAAAAAAAAATTTAATATCGAAAAATTAATTAATTGAATAAAAAAAAAGATTTTCTAAAAGAAATATTTTTTTTCTGTTCACTTCAATTTTTTTCTTGTTTACTTTTATTAATTTATATTTATTTTTCTTCAATTTTTTTTCTAATTTCGAAAATAAGAAATATTTCTTGATTTATTTATTTTTTTACCAAAAAAAGAAAAAAAACAAACAAACAAAATTCTAATTTACAAAAAACAGGAAAAATTCTCAACTGGTCAATAAAATATAATTTTGTTAAATTCGAAACCAAAAAAAAGAGGCCTCTCCCCCTCCCCTCGTTGCTCTTAATAACCCTACATTCTTAAGCCCGCGGGTCGACTTCATTTACATTTTAACCGTTTTGCATTTAAAAAAAAAAAAAAAAAAAAAATCCACCGTTTGCAGTGACGCGAAGACCCCCCCGTGAAACTTCACGTGACCCTCGTTCCTGTAGAAAGCCCCCCTCCCCCCGGTCACCCTTCCTGGATCATGCCAGAGCGCCAAGGGAGAGAATGAGTTTTTATCCCGCGTGATACCGGATGGCACCGAGATACACGGAAATGCAAATTTTCTCTCGTAAGGGATGACCGGCTCACGGGGTGTCATGAGAAACAGGTTTTTATTTTATTTTTATTTTTCTTTTTTTTTAAAGGAAACACTACAACAAGAACAAGTCCAACAATCCTCTGCTGGGGTTAAATTTAAATGTCCAGAAATTCGAGTTTTCAAGGACTCTCGCGGAGAAGATATTTAATATTCTTATTTACTTTTTTTTCTTTTCTTTGTTGTGAGTGAAAGAAAAGAGAATGGAAATGAAAAAATTGAATGTCCGTTCTCCTGGAATTTGTAATTCGTAAAATTTTCAAAACTTCGTTAACTTTAAAAATTGAATTTTTAATTCTTAGCGTGTCCCAAATATTTTTAAAAATTGAAAATCTAATTTGTAAAATGACTAAAATATTTAATCCCCAATTCGTAGAATGTTCAAAATATTCAAAAAGCAAAAAAAAAAAATTTAATTCTAATTCGTCGAAGAACGAAATGAAAAAATAAAAAATCCACTAAAAACTACAGAAACTTGAAAAATTTTCTAAGAATTTAAAAATAAATGCAAGTGTTAATTATTTATTAATCGAATTAAATTTATTTTAAATAAAAAATTTAAAAAATATAAATAGATATAAATATAAATATATAAAAATATAAATATAAAATAAATATTTAAGAAATAATAAAAAAATTTAGAAAAAAACCTGACTGTCAATTCAGTCAAATAATAAATATTTTCCAATTTGTTTTTTATAGTTATATTTTTATATTATTTTATTATGATATATTAATTAATATATTATTATATTACATTACTTTCGTATGCATTTATAATTTTTATATTATTTTTTTGATTCCATAATTTTTATGAATGAGAAAAATACAGTGAAATATAATTATTTTTTTTATTGTTTTTTTTTTTATTATATTTATTATATTATATTTATATTTATTATATTTATTTTATTATATTTTACTAAATATTTTATTTATAAAAAAAAAATTGTGGAAAAAAAAATTATAATAAAATTAAACTCTTATTATATTATATTATCAAGGGTTATCACTGAAAAAAAAATTAATTGATTAAAATAATCGATTACTTGTCTATTAGCAATTAAATATTTACTGGAGTTAAATAATTTTTCTTTGAGTTAAATAAATTATATTTAAGCCAAATAAATTGTATTTGAACCAATAATTTCAGTATTTTAAGCAAATATAAATTGAACCATTTAATTGACTCCAATAAATATTATTTGATTCAATTAAATATTTAATTGATAATAGTAAATTAATCGTTTATTTGAATCAAATAAATTTTTTTCAGTGTAGCTGTCCATAAATTTGTATATAAATAAATAAATAAATATTATAACATAATATAATATTTTATCATGCTTGTAAAATAAAAAATATATAATGTAAAACAATTTTATATCAAATAACATACTGTAAAATAATACAATATAAAAAATATAAAAAAATAATGTAATGTAATATAGTAGGTTTAATATAATATAATAATTTTGAGATAAATACAACATATTTTCATAATAAAATTTCAAAATTAATAATAAATTCGTAATAAGCCCGAATTATATTAAGATTTTTAGGCATTTTTTAACTTTTCGGTTAAATATTGTTTAATTCTTTAATGAAGTTTGTATTTAAATTTTTTATGACTTTAGTTTAATTATACAATTATATAATTAATATATAATTATTTATATTTAATTATAATTAATATTATTATTATATAATTAATATAATAATATAAAAGTATAAAGAAATAATTTTAATAATAAAAGAGTTAAAAATAATATTTCAAAATAAAAACGTTTATTAATAACGTTTCTGTTATTTTCAGAAAAACACAAGTTGAATGCAAAAAAAAATTCCTTTTATTAATTAAATATATATACAAAAATAATAATAACGTTTAAAAAAAAACTTTAAAAAATAATGTTTAAAAACAAACTTTTAAAAATAATAACGTTTAAAAAAAAAACTTAAAAAAATAATGTTTAAAAACAAACTTTTAAAAATAATAACGTTTAAAATAAAAACTTTTAAAAAATAATAACGTTTAAAATAAAATCGTTTAAAAATAATAACGTTACTGTTATTATTTTCAGAAAAATACGAGAGCAGAAAAAAAATCCTTTTTATTAATTAAATGTACATACATCTTATGTGTTTTAATATTAGTCAGAGATCAAGACATTTCACTGCGCACCCTTCTCCAGGTTCATACTCTCAAATAGCAATATATTAGAGCGTAATTCTCCCCTCCTAATATGACTTGGAGTTTCTCGTTGGTTCACTGAAAAGGGTGTGCACGAGAATCCCCACCATAAGTTTTCCCCTTCTAACATATATTTCCTAGCCCTTTCGTATAGAAAATAGTGGAGGGGTGATTAGATAACTATAGGGGAGTTTAGATGAAAGTTTAGATAAATTCAGGGTGAGTCAACTCTGCTCGGGAAAATCGCAAGACTTCTTCTTTTTCTCCCTTTCCTCCAGATATAACTTTCATTTAAATTCACTGAAAAGCTAATTTGTTAATTTTAATTTATTAAAAATTTTCACAAAAAGTTTTTAATTTTTGTTTTTTCTAATAATATTTTTCTGTAAAAAAAAAATTAATTGATGAATAAATATTTTTGGGTTAGGCGTCTTTTTTTCTCTTTTCTTGATAATTATTTGATACTTTTTATTTTAATGTCAATTGTAATGATACTCGATTTAATTGTTTCTGAACAATTATGAAGACAATAAAAAAAAAAAATAAAAAAAAAATGCTGCCAAGTATTAAAAAATTTATTACTGCCAAAAGAATTTTTCTTGGTCCAAGTAAAAAATTTATTTTCTCCAAAAGAATATTATTTTGTCCAAGTAAAAAATTTATTTCCACTAAAAAAATTTATTTGATTCAAATAAAAAATTTATTTCCTTAAAAAAAAAAATTGATTTGGTTTGAATAACTTTTATTTGGTTGAAATAATTTTTATTTGGTTGAAAGTGGAAACTTTGTTGACGTCAAAAAAATAGTTGGTGAAAATAAATCGTTTTATTTAAATCAAAAATTATTTTTTGTGGAAATAAAGTTTTTAAAATTTAATTAAAAGTACTGAAAAAATTAAATTTTTGGAATTCTTAAAAAAATTCTGAATTTTTGTGTTTTTTTTGTTTGACTCATAAATTATGAAATTACCACGAATTCTAATATACAAAACCTTCAATTTTTTCAATTTCTGACAAAAATTTCCTTTCAAATAACTTAAATCTTGAACAAATATTATAAAATAAATAAATTATTTAATGAATAATTTTACTTAAATATTTCAAAATTAATTCAATTTTACAAGCGTTGCGTTTACAATTTTTATAAATAAATGAACTTTCAAACGGTTTTAATTTGAGATTTTATCAAATTTCAATGTTGAATGAATTAAATTAAAAATTTTAATGAA